TGACTCGTTCCTGTCCATCACCGCCTTCTGACGTTTCTGCAACCGCTGGAACGCTTGCACAAGGCAACGGCTGCTAATCTTTCCTGCCAGCTTTCTTCTCACCTTTTAAGAAACTGGACGAGAGAATTTGATATTCTACAGTCTGACTTGAGAATTGCCATTGTCCAGATTAATTCTACACGGGTGGATCCTGTGGTTGATGAAACCCTGGCCACTTGGATTTGGAACATCACTTCCCATATTAAGGAATGGGTGGGAGTGGTTGTGCTGATTCTGCTCTTATGTACAGGCTGTGCCTTATGCCTTTTTTTTCCTGTGTCGTCTGAGACACCGTGCTCAGCGAGATCGTGTGGCAATACATCAAGCCCTACTAGCCATGCAGAATGGTGACTACCCCATGGTATGGTTGAGCATGCTTCAACAGGCTTAGTTAAGAGCATGGACATCATGGCTCCTGCACCTCAGGCCATTATGGCATTGCACTGAGTTCGAGCATGATGCACCTGACTAGCCCTTGCACCTCGCAGGACTTGTCCATTGCACGCGAGAGGGTAGTCGCTCTTATAACTGCCTTGTCGAGACATTGCTCTTTACAACCACCGCGGTTGTAGCCCATGACGGGTAAGATAGACCCAGACAATTATCGGTCTAAGACAGGGACTACGTCAAGCTACGCAGCCTCCCTATGACGGATCGTGCGCCTTGAGTCTACAACCTAAGACAGGCCCATACCAGCTTATTTTTCTATTGTATAAGAAGGAGGGAGATGTTGCCAGCCGCATCTGCATGTACTGGCTACATGCCGTACCCAAAATGGCGCCGGCCGGAAAAGCCACACCTTGGTTCCTGGTGACGTAGCTTTCGTGGTACTGCGCAGGCGCCTAGCACATGCCCAGTGAGCTGAGGCGTGGCCGGCGCATGAACACTGGGACTGACGAATCCAGTCGCCCAGGACCCTGCGTAATCATGACGCCGACCTATCATCGGCGGAGGCGGGGCCAGTCAGCACATAAGAGCAGACAGCCTGCCGGGGTCTGAGCCTTTCCTCCTCATCCTGATGCGTGCAATAAAGATTACCGCAGAAGACTTCACTCGCGTCTGCCTCTTATCGCCGGACGATAAGAAACGTGGGCGCGACAGAGAATCGTGGACAGCACCCAGCTCTCTAGGCCGGCGCGCCACAGCCAGGACACTCGGTGCTGCAGGCTCAGGCCGAGGGACGCGGGGGCTGGGAAGGGAGGCAGCCCCCGCACTGAGGGAATGTGCGGCCTGCCGGGGAGGCCACCTGCGGAGACCGCTCCCGACCAGAGCTGACCGCCCAGGGGAACCGACAGACTGCCAGCCTGACGGCCGGGGTATGCACCTTGCTAAGGCTGAGGTTAAACGCAGCAGGTGGTGAATGCTAGAGGGTAAAGGCGGCAGACACGGGTAGGCTGGGGTCTGGCCATGGGTGATCACAGGGTGGCAGAGTCCCGGCTGGACAGATTCTGCTCACAGGCGAGCACAGGGCCTTCAGTGCATGGACTGGCCACTCTGAATGGGTCCCAAGTGCATTATCCTCCCCGGACACGCTCAGGTTCCGGCTGTGGGAGGGTCCAGGGCACGCTGTGTCCCCCACTGGCACCTGTCTCCAAGGTCACGGCTGCCTCCTAGCCTCAGTGGTCCTGCTCGCCCAAAGGGCACCGGGCACTGCCGGCCAGGGGATCCTGCACCTCCTGCCCCATCCCAGGGCACCTCTCAGTACCTGGAGCTGCCCCCTGCAGGCCTCAGGGTTCTGGTCAGCGCAGAGTCCTGGGGTGAGCGGGAGAGCCAGGAAACAGCGAGGGGTCAATTCCCTACAGTTCCGGGCTGCTACCATGAAGGACAGGTGTGTGCGGGGCCAGCAGCACCCACTCTCCAGCATGTGACTGTGGGGGTCTCGGGAGCCATGGACACAGATGGGCAAAGGCGCACCCTGGGACGCATCCAGAAGAGTGAAGCATGTCTCCCATGACCTCCAGATCGAGTCAGGACACCCCGAAAACACAGGTGAAAGCATCTGCTCCAATCTTGCCACCACAAACCAACAGAGGAAGGAGTTGGGGTCAGGACGGTTTATTGGGGCACCATGAAGTGCCCACAGGTGAGGTCAAGGCCACGTGACCCAGGGCACAGACACTGGGCAGGACAGCAGACCGGGAGGAAGGTGTGATGTGAGCACAGTGGACAGGCAGGGACCTGTCCTGCAGCAGCACAGGCTGAGGGGTGAGTGGGAGGACAGAGCCCAGGGACGCTGCTCAGCAGCAGGACTGGCCCGAGGAGAGGCCACAGCAGGCCGGGCGGGAGCAGGCAGGCTGGCAGAGCAGGGACACGCTGGAGGAGGGTCTGCAGCTGGGCTGGCAGCAGGAGGCAGGGGCACAGCAGGAGGAGGCGGGCACGCAGCAGGCGGGTCTGCACACAGGGCGGCAGAGCAGGGACACGCTGGAGGAGGGTCTGCAGCAGGATGAGGGGCAGCAGCTGGGCTGGCAGCACGAGGGTGCTGGGCAGAGGGGCACGCAGCTCACTGGCCTGCAGCAGAGGTAGCTGGACTCCTGGCAGGGAGAGGAGCCACAGCATGAGGGCTGGCAGCTAGACTGCTGGCAGCAGGAGGAGGAACCCTCAGAGCAGACAGGCACACAGCAGACAGGCTTGCAGCACACGGGCTTGCAGCAGAGGGTCACACAGCTGGACTCCTGGCAGGGAGAGGAGCCACAGCACGAGGGCTGGCAGCTAGACTGCTGGCAGCAGGAGGAGGAGCAGACAGGCACACAGCAGACAGGCTTGCAGCAGAGGGGCACACAGGAGGACTCCTGGCAGGGAGAGGAGCCACAGCATGAGGGCTGGCAGCTAGACTGCTGGCAGCAGGAGGAGGAACCCTCAGAGCAGACTGGCACACAGCAGACAGGCTTGCAACACACAGGCTTGCAGCAGAGGGTCACACAGCTGGACTCCTGGCAGGGGGAGGAGCCACAGCATGAGGGCTGGCAGCTAGACTGCTGGCAGCAGGAGGAGGAGCAGACTGGCACACAGCAGACAGGCTTGCAGCACACGGGCTTGCAGCAGAGGGTCACACAGGAGGACGGGGCGCAGCAGCTGGGGGCACAGCAGGGTGGCTCGCAGCAGCTCTCTGGGCAGTCGTCCACCTGCCAGGAGTCGTGGGAAGCGGGCATGCAGATGTTGCTGCCGTAGCTGAGGTTGCTGGAGCAGACGGACATGGTAGATGTGGTTTCGAGGGGCTTGTGCTGTCAGTGAGTGTGTGCTGAGTGAGTGTGTGAGCAGCTCAGGGCTCCCGTCTTTTTATCCACCCCGGGCTCTTGTTGTCCTGACAGGGCGCTCACTTCTTCCTTCCTACTTGTTTGTGCTGGAATCTGCCCAGGGCTCGTCCAGCCTGGTGTTGTTGTGCACCGTGGCGTGGCTTCAGCTGTCTCTTCCCCTTGCCAGCTATCCTGTTTCCTGGCTCTTCCTGTCCTGGGGGTCCCGAGGCGGTGCCGGTGGCTCCAGGAATACTCCCACCTGCTGGGGCCCCTCCTGCCAGGCCCGCACAGGCCTCAAACACAGGCCTTTGGCCCTCACCTGTGGGTCAGTCCCCGACCAGTGCAAAGGTTAAGGAGGGCAGTGGTGGGGAGTGCTTGCCTTGGCCGATTCGCCCCTGTGGAGCACTGCAGGTCTCTGTCTTCCTCATGAGCTCAGAGCGTTGCTTGGCGGCCCCGATCTGTCCATGGCAGCCCTGCCCACCCTTGCTTTCTCTTTGATCCCAGCCTCCCCGTGATCTGCCCTGGAGCCGTGGGTGCAGCTCTGGTGCCAGGAGCGCAATGCCCCCTCTGAGGACCCAGCCACCTGCTTGGCTGCTGGCTGAAAAGGCCTGTCCACAGCCTGAGTCAGGCTGCAGCGTCACCCGCTGCCCACCGCCTCCTACCGACTGTGCCCAGGCCCACCCACTCCTTCCCTTCTCAAGTCCCCCCACCCCCCCAGGGAAACCACCCTCCCACGCGTGAGTGACCACACCAGGGCCCACACCACATGCACTCTCACACAGAGGCCCCCGGGACAGCTCAGGGTATGCCTGCCCAGAGGAGTGACACCTGCTACGGGGAGGGCTTGGGGGCCTCCTTGGTGGGGCTACAGCCCGCTGGACAGGCCTCCAGGTCCCACTGCCACTTCCGGAGCTGCCCCGTGTGCAGCTGGCCTTTGCAGAGGCCCACCAGCGCCCTGGCGCTAAGGGAGGCATTCGGAACTCAGCAGCGCTGTGGTCTGAGGAGCTGTGTTCCAGGGATGCAGAGGTGATGCAAGGAACCGGCCTGGTCACCCAGAGACACAGGAACGGGCCAGCCGGGGCCCCAGACCTGGGACCGAGGGGGGAGGGGACACTCGGGCTGGCCCGGAGGGTTGGAGAGGCTGCAAGAAGCCTGTCGCCTGGACCTAGATGCCTGAGGGGCAGGGAGAGAAGGTGCAGACAGCTCAAGTCCACGGGCATCTCTGCCAGTCTGCCAGGGCACAGGCCGCAGGCAGGGAGAAGCCCAATGGCTGCGAGGTTCCCCTAACGCACGGTAAGGCTCAGCCATTGCATCCTGCCAAGGACAGGACCAAGGGACAGAGCAGCCGGCAGACCAGGTCCAGCAGGGACGCGCATGGGAACCGGCAACACAGGCTTCAAACACCTGGGACCAGACCACACCCACAGCAGGACAGCTTGGGGACCCTGCTGCCACCCTACACCACAGCATCCCAGCTTGGCACACACTTGCTCTTCCAGAGCCCGAGGGCAACATGTGGGACGCCGGAGACCTGACATTTACAGCTGCGTGCCATCAACATCCCTGTTGGCACGGGAGCCACTCTAGCAGGAAGGGGAAGAGGCCAGGGCAACAGGGACAGGGCTGGGACCAGTATAAAAGCCAGAGGGCCTGAGAGCCCCCACACACTCACACCTCCACCAGCCACTCACTCACTCACTGCACACGCCCCTCCACCCTCACCACACCATGGCCACCTCCACCATGTCCGTCTGCTCCAGCAACCTCAGCTACGGCAACAACATCTGCATGCCTGCTTCCCACGACTCCTGGCAGGTGGACGACTGCCCAGAGAGCTGCTGCGAGCCGCCCTGCTGTGCCCCCAGCTGCTGCGCCCCGTCCTCCTGTGTGACCCTCTGCTGCAAGCCCGTGTGCTGCAAGCCTGTCTGCTGTGTGCCAGTCTGCTCCTCCTCCTGCTGCCAGCAGTCTAGCTGCCAGCCCTCATGCTGTGGCTGCTCCCCATGCCAGGAGTCCAGCTGTGTGACCCTCTGCTGCAAGCCCGTGTGCTGCAAGCCTGTCTGCTGTGTGCCAGTGTGCCAGTCTGAGGGCTCCTCCTGCTGCCAGCAGTCTAGCTGCCAGCCCTCATGCTGTGGCTCCTCTCCCTGCCAGGAGTCCAGCTGTGTGACCCTCTGCTGCAAGCCCGTGTGTTGCAAGCCTGTCTGCTGTGTGCCTGTCTGCTCCTCCTCCTGCTGCCAGCAGTCTAGCTGCCAGCCCTCATGCTGTGGCTCCTCCCCCTGCCAGGAGTCCAGCTGTGTGACCCTCTGCTGCAGGCCAGTGTGCTGCAAGCCTGTCTGCTGTGTGCCCGTCTCCTCCTGCTGTGCCCCCGCCTCGTGCTGCCAGCCCAGCTGCTGCTGCCCGGCCTCCTGTGTGTCTCTGCTCTGCCAGCCCGCCTGCCCCTGCCCGTCCTGCTGCTGAGTGGCTTCACTGAGGTCCCTGTAGGGCTGGCTGCTCCCTGCCTCTGCAGCCCTGAGCATCTGTGGTGGCTCTGGGCTCGTGCGAGCAGCCCCCCATTTTCTTAAGTGCTGACCTTTCTCCAATCAATGAGCCCTGCCCCCAGCCATGGGTGTGCAGTGACCCCAGCCAGGGGAGAAGCCAGGGGTGTGAGCCGCTCGTGCGTCTGTGGAGTGACCCCTGTACCTTGGTCCGCTGTGGTCCACGCCTTTCCTCCATGCAGGCCTCTGTCTCCCCCTCCCCTCTACGTGCCATTTCCAGAACTCTTCCCCCAATAAACCCCTTTCCCTGACAGCTCTGGCCATTTTCATTCTGTCATTTCTTGTGCACGGCGCTCCCATGTGCTGCCGCGTCGCAGCCCCTGCGGGGTTCCCGAGAGGCCCAGGCCGCCTGACCGCCAGGTGTCTAAAGGACTGAGCTGTGATGAGGGCGTAGGCCCATGGCCGGGGGCGGGGGAGGCCACCCTCCAGGGCTGGCGCCGTCTGATCTGTCTTCCTTCAGTTTTCTCTCGGGAGAGGGTGGAGGCTGACGAGGAGCTGGGCGGAGGCTGGCACAGGGCTCCCGGAGGCGCTCAGGATGCCAGCTGCCTCCACTCTGGGCTGCCCTCCGAGGCTGTGGCCTCCAGCCCGGCACTGCGCTGCAGCTTGGCTGAGACACGCTCCACATACAGGGGAGCACCAGGCTCGCCCCTGGGCACCAGGGGGCTCTGGAGGCCCTGAAGCCCACAGACAGCAGGACAGAGGAGGCCTGCCTGACCACTGCGGGATGGCCAGAGAAGCGCTGACCCTGGCCTGTGGCATCGCTGAAACAGCAGGTCGGAGCCACAGGAATGCGAGGGGGCAGGCTGCATGACGGCACCTGCACCATCACAGTGCCTGCTCTAACTCCTGCCTGCGGGTCGGTCCAGCTTCCATCCTGGGCACAGCTGGGAAGCTGCAGCGGACGTGGAGAGCTGGACGGAGCTCCCGGCTGCAGCCGTGGCCTGACCCAGGCCTGGCTGCCGTGGCGTCTGCGGAGGGACTGCTAGCCAGACAGAAGGTCTCCCTCCTTCCCTCAGTCCCTCTCTCTTTCCCTCTAAAAAAATTACCAGTAGCTTTGCATACTAACAAACAGCATCCAAAGAAGAAATATCGGAAAGATATAACAGGATCTAAGAAGCCCAAGGTGGAGTAGAAACGATTATAAACCACACACAGAAAATAGTCCTAAGTAAACGGAGAACACCTCATGTCGTGTGTTGGAATAGTTAACATTGGCCAGCTTGCCACGCTGGGGCCAGCATCGTGTTTGTAAGTTCCCGCCCTTGATGCCGACGTCCTGCGTGGGCAATAGCTCGTGTCCCAGTCACTCTGTTTCCAAACCAGTTCCCTGTTAACACATCTGTGTGAGAGCCCAGGGACTTGGGGCCCTGCCACCCACAAAGGAGCCCTGGAAGGAGCTCCTGGCACCTGGCTTCAGCAGGGGGTACAGAGAAGGTCTTCTGTCCATTAGCTCACTCTGCAAAGGGCTGCAAAGGCCAGAGCTGAGCTGATCCGAACCCAGGAGCCAGCAGCTTCTCCCAGGTCTCCCACGTGGGTGCAGGAACCCGAGGACTTGAGCCGTCCTCTGCTGCTTTTCCAAGACACAAGCAGGGAGCTGGATGGGAAACGGGGCTGCCAGGACTTGAGCTGGCAGCGACATGGGATGCCAGTGCCACAAGACAGAGGATTAGCATGCTGTGCCACTGTGCTAGCCCCAAGTCAAAGAACTATTGAGCAAAAGAACAAAACTGGAGGCATGGCACTGTGATTTCAGGACGTATTACAACGCTGCTGGAGCCCAGACACCGAGCAGCCACCGGAGAGAAGTCCCGGAAACAAACCCAAGAGGTGCTGTCCACGGCTGTGACGAGGACACCAGGAGGACGGCAAGGGACCAGAGCCGCTCCTGGGAAGGGGACATTTACAGGGAGGAGGAAATCGGCCCTTTTGTCACCTTGTAGGAAAAGTTCGGCTCAAAACATGGTAAAGACTCAAATGTAAGGACAAACTACGAAGCTTGGGGACACGGAACACTTCCCGCGACTACAGAAGCAAGGCGCCAAGATCAGACTGGCAGGTGGCATTCGACTGGCAGGCAACGGGGACACTGCTGCACAGGCCTGCAGACCCAGGGGGCAGGGAGGAGCCACAGCCTGCAGACCCAGGGGACAGGCCACAGGGAGGAGCCACAGCCTGCAGACCCAGGGGACAGGCCACAGGGAGGAGCCACAGCCTGCAGACCCAGGGGGCAGGCCACAGGGAGGAGCCACAGCCTGCAGACCCAGGGGGCAGGACACAGGGAGGAGCCACAGCCCAGAACCTGGAGGGGACACTGCAACACTGCAGCCGCCCCAGGACAATGCCCAGAGGTAAGCAAGGAAACTGACTCAGGAAGCACCTGGACAAACATTTCTGAAAACACGCATGGGAGAGCCAGCGGCTCCATGGAGAACACAGTGTGTGTCCAGCAGGGAAAGGTGAAGCAGCCCTTTGCACCTGCCGGGCTGGCTCTCATGCAGAGAAACGCAGAAACCCCACACCTGCCGGGGGACGGTGGCAAGGCCAGCACGGGGACCGCCTGGAGAAGGGACGCCGCTCTCTGGTGAGATGCCTGCCCGCCCACGAGGCATGGTGCACTCAGAGCAGCCACAGTTGGGGATCTCCCAGAGCGAGGCCGAGCACGGAGAGGCCCGGGGACCTCGTGCCAATGCCAGGTGCAGGAGGGCCAGCCGCGCTGGTCTCCCTCTCGCGTGGGCTCAGCGGGTGGGCAGTGTTGGTGGGCCTGTGGGGACGCACCGCAGGCGACCGCGGTCACCCTCACCCCCTCACGTCTCAGAATTGCTAACTGGCTGGGCTGTTGTCCTAGCATCTCCGCTGGGCTTGGCCTGTGCAGTGGACACGCAGCGCACCCCCCACACACAGTAAGAGCAGGCTGGCCGTGAGGACGTGACAAAGCCAAACTGAAATAAAGATGAAGAGGAGCACGTGGGAAATCTTCCTGAAACGGTCAGGCAAGCGAGACGCACGAGAGGACGAACGGATTGTTTCGTTACAACTGAAAGCATCTGGGCCCGGCACGGCAGCTCGATGGCCAAGTCCTCGCCTTGCACGCGCCCGGATCCCACACGGGCGTGGTTCGTGTCCCGGCTGCCTGTCTTCACACCAGCTCCCTGCTGTGGCCCGGGAACGAGGAGAGAACTAGCACAAAGACTTCTCTCTGTCTCTCCTCTTGTAAACCTGCCTTTCCAATAAAAATTAATAAATATTTAGAAAAACAAAGTACCTGGATTTTAATTCATTTGTCTTAGCTCATCCGTCCCAGTGGCCACACGGCCTTTGTCAGAGTGACACACAAGAGGACATTGGCAGTGTGCGTGGGCAGGCGTGAGCAGCAGCCACCTCTCGCAGGCGTGTGGGGCACGAGTGTCGCCTGCTACACCACGGCTGAAGCTCGCATCTGGCGAGGCTGTAGATGGCCAGCTGGCAGCACGCTCAGCTTCTCCAGAATTGGGAGGCACGTGCTAAACCCAACACGCGCTGGTGCACGGCGTGCTGGTCCACGCTGGGAGCAAGGACGCGCCCCACACACAGGGGGTGTTACGGCAGCACCGGTCAGCTCAGCCCAAACTCAGAAGTGACACAGAACAGCAGCAGGGCCGGCCGTGGCCCTGACGGCAGAGAGGAGGGAGGCAGACGGAGGAGCTCCCGCGGGGAGAGGGGCTGACCGCCACGTGTCAGCCTCATCTCCCCGCACTGCTGTCCATCCAGCGTGAGGGCGGGAGGCGTGTTCTCACACCGCGGCTCCAAAGTCCGTCTCTCACAGCCCATTTCCAGAGAGCTGCTGCAGGCTCCGCCCAAGCTGGAGGGGAAGTCCACAAAGCAAGCATGTAGCAACTGGAAAACGAGGGGCGAGGGGCAAGCCAGGGACCCCACAGGGCGTGCCAGGACAGAAGAGGCCAAACCCCAACATGGCCGGATGACCCCGGACTCCTTGCAGTCAGAGTGCAGTGGACCCTGCAGACACACAGAAAACATAAACAAACACGAGCCAACAACAGGGAAAAAACAGACCGAAGCACCGTGTTTACAAGTGACTCGGGAACATGCATGGTGGCTGTACTCTGAACCCGATGAGCCATGCGCATCTGACCAAAGGAGTCTTGGGGACTGGCTGACCAGTCGTGGGGTCCCCTGCCCCCTGAGGGGACTGGCTGACCAGTCATGGTGCCCCCCCCATCACCTATGGGGACTGGCTGACCAGATATGGGGTCCCCTCCCCCTGAAGGGACTGGCTGACCAGACGTGGGGTCCCCTGCACCCCTGTGGGGTCTGGCTGAACAGACGTGAGATATCCTGCCCTATGAAAGGAACAGGACAGGTCTGCTTTATTGGTGTGCACCAATAAGAGGCAATTTCTCCGCCTTAGGAGGTCGGGCCTCCGCTAAGCCTGAAAGCTCCAGTAACAGAAAGTACACACCAGCAAGAGAGACACAAACAGCAGGGCCTGGGACGGGGGCTGGGACGGACCCAGAGGGACACGCCGGACACTGCCAAGCCTGCAGGTAGGACAGTGCGTGGACAGAGGGGGCGCTCCCGGGACCAGGGCAGGGCACTGCTGCAGCACAACAGACCAAAGCAAGAACTGCAGCAGGGAGCAGAGACGAGGAGCCTGTCTTCGGGACAGACCGAGAGCCGCCAGGTGGGCTTCGGACAGCCCGAGGGCCAGGGGGGCGCCAGGTGGGCTTCGGACAGCCCGAGGGCCAGGGGGGCGCCAGGTGGGCTTCGGACAGCCCGAGGGCCAGGGGGGCGCCAGGTGGGCTTCGGACAGCCCGAGGGCCGCCAGCCCCACAGTAAGCATCCTGGGCTCTGTTTCCAACAATTCACAAATAAACTAATGAGGGGTGTGGGGCGCTCTTGCCTGAACACAAGGAAGAGGAAGTGGCGCAGGCTCTGGGGGGAAAACACGGGGCGGGTATAAAACCACACGGCTCAGGCCATCTTGCATCCTCCCACACCGACTCACACCTGCTCCCTCAACTCACGCCTGCTCACACCTGCTCACCACCCAGCATGGCTGCCACTTGCTGCACCAGGACATGCGTGCTGGCTGCGTCCACCGTGTCTGTCTGCTCCAGCGGCAGCCGGCCCTGCTCACCCAGCACCTGTATCAGCTCCTCCTGCCCAGTGGACAATGGCCAGGAGAGCTGCTGCGAGCCGCCCTGCTGTGCCCCCAGCTGCTGCGCCCCGTCCTCCTGTGTGACCCTCTGCTGCAAGCCCATGTGCTGCAAGCCTGTCTGCTGTGTGCCAGTCTGCTCCTCCTCCTGCTGCCAGCAGTCTAGCTGCCAGCCCTCATGCTGTGGCTCCTCCCCATGCCAGGAGTCCAGCTGTGTGACCCTCTGCTGCAAGCCCGTGTGCTGCAAGCCTGTCTGCTGTGTGCCTGTCTGCTCAGCGCCCTCCTGCTGCCAGCAGTCTAGCTGCCAGCCCTCATGCTGTGGCTCCTCCCCATGCCAGGAGTCCTGTTGTGTGACCCTCTGCTGCAAGCCCGTGTGCTGCAAGCCTGTCTGCTGTGTGCCAGTGTGCCAGTCTGAGGGCTCCTCCTGCTGCCAGCAGTCTAGCTGCCAGCCCTCATGCTGTGGCTCCTCCCCATGCCAGGAGTCCAGCTACCTCTGCTGCAGGCCAGTGAGCTGCGTGCCCCTCTGCCCAGCACCCTCGTGCTGCCAGCCCAGCTGCTGCCCCTCATCCTGCTGCAGACCCTCCTCCAGTGTGTCCCTGCTCTGCCGCCCTGTGTGCAGACCCGCCTGCTGCGTGCCCGCCTCCTCCTGCTGTGTCCCCACCTCCTGCTGCCAGCCCAGCTGCTGCCGCCCGGCCTCCAGCGTGTCCCTGCTCTGCCGGCCTGCCTGCCCCCGCCCGGCCTGCTGTGGCCTCTCCTCGGGCCAGTCCTGCTGCTGAGCAGCGTCCCTGGGGCCCTGTCCTCCCACTCACCCCTCAGCCTGTGCTGCTGCAGGACAGGTCCTTGCCTGTCCACTGTGCTCATGTCACCTTCCTCCCGGTCTGCTGTCCTGCCCAGTGTCTGTGCCCTGGGTCACGTGGCCTTGACCTCAGCTGTGGGCACCCCACGCATCCCGTCAATAAACCATTCTGACCCCTGACTCCTCTCCTCTGTCGTTCATGGGTGGGTAGGGCAGACATTCGGTCTCCAACGGTATTTTTGGGGAGCCTGACTCGGCCTGGAGAGCAGAAGGGAGCAGGCCTTCACCCAACTCCTTCAGGCTGGACTGATCGTGCCCACATCGGGGATTCTAGGGGCTGCACCCATAGTCAGGTGCTGTTCTGGGTGCGCACCAGCCCAAACGACCCACCTGGCTGTCCGGGTTGGTCCTAGGCAGTCCTACCCTGCCGAGACACGGGGCCATCCCGACCCCCATGACCCCAGGTGGGCCTGCATCTTGCTGAGGCCTCCAGGCCATCCCACTCCACCCAACACTGCTTCCCCCTCCATGCCACGGACTCTGCCGACGACAGGCCCACACCCACTTCTGCAATGCTTCTTGTGCCTGGCTTGTGTCTAGCGACCCCAGCTGGCCCTCCTTGTGTTGTGGCTTCACCTCATCTCACACAAACCCTGTTAGCATCCCCACAGCTTGCAGTGTCGGCCCAGCCCCAGTGCTCTAAGGGAGCGTATGCAGTGCTCAGGGCAGGAAGGGAAGGCCCTGAACGAGGCCCTGGGTGCTTAGAGGCGGCCTCAGGCAGCTGACCCGACTCTGCTCAGAACCTGCCTGGGTTCTCTGGCCCTGTGGGGTGCATTCTGACAACCCCCGCTGGGCCTGTCACAGCCACCAGAACCACTACACTGGGCCTGTCGGCCCCTGTGTTCAGAGCCGGAGGTCACTCCACAGCCACTGCACGGGCAGTGCTGTCCACACTGCGGCTCAGCCTGGAAACAGCAGAGACTAGAGCTCAGCCGTGGGGACATGAGCCAGCAAGCAGCTCTGGACGGGCCGCAGGGCGTGGCTCCCTCCCCGGGGTGCCTGCCTCCCAGGGTGCCCGCCTCCCGGGGTGCCCGCCTCCCGGGTGCCTGATTCCCCAGGGTGCCCGCCTTCTGGGTGCCCGCCTCCCCAGGGTACCCGCCTTCGGGGTGCCCGCCTCCCCGGGGTGCCCGCCTCCCGGGTGCCTGATTCCCCCGGTGCCTCCCGGGTGCCTGCTTCCCCCGGTGCCTCCCGGGGTGCCCGCCTCCCTGGGTGCCCGCCTCCCGGGGTGCCCGCCTCCCGGGGTGCTCGCCTCTCGGGTGCCTGCTTCCCCTGGTGCCTCCCGGGGCTCCACGGGGCATCAGAGACCCAGGTCACATCCTGGCACAGTCCTAGGTGCTCAGACGTTTGGGCAAAGAACCAACGGATGGAACTTGCGTTTGTGTGCCTCTGTCCCCTTGCCTTTCACACACATTAACACAAAAAATAAAAACATTGAAAAAATATTTGAATGGATGTTGCCTCTGAAAATACCTTGCAAAGAAACAGTTGTAGGACTGAAAAAAATTAAAATGAGAGAAAAACACCCCACCTGGGATTCCCAGGGCATGTGACGGTCCCCACTCACAGCAAGCAGGTGGAGTGACACTAGTCTGGGTCCCAGCAACTCCACTTCCCATCCAGCTCCCTGCTGATGCACCTGGGAAAGCAGCAGAGAACCCCAGGGCTTGGCACCTGTGCCTATGAGGACCCCAGGGCTTGGCACCTGTGCCCATGAGGACCCCAGGGCTTGGCACCCTGCGCCCATGCGGGAGACTCGGAAGAAACTTGTGGCTTTGGATCGGGTCAGCTCTGGCCATTGTGGCCACTTGGGGAGTGAACCAGTGGATGGAAGATCTCTCTGTGTCTCTCCCTCTCTTGCTGTAATTTTCAAATATGTGGAAAAAAAAGCCCAGGCTGGACCTTTCTGAGTGACAAGCTGGAGGGTAGGGGTGCCAAGGTACAAGCACAGGGAAGACTCGGCAGAGGAGAGCTGAGTGTTCACCCAAAACAGGCTCTGTGCACGCGGTGCCAGGGCAGGGACGGGGCCATCCGTGTGCACGTGGTGCCAGGGCAGGGACGGGGCCATCCGTGTGCACACGGTGCCAGGGCAGGGACGGGGCCATCCGTGTGCTCATGGTGCCAGGGCAGGGACGGGGCCATCCGTGTGCTCACGGTGCCAGGGCAGGGATGGGGCCATCCGTGTGCTCACGGTGCCAGGGCAGGGACGGGGCCATCCGTGTGCTCACGGTGCCAGGGCAGGGACGGGGCCATCCGTGTGCACGCGGTGCCAGGGCAGGGACGGGGCCATCCGTGTGCACGCGGTGCCAGGGCAGGGACGGGGCCATCTGTGTGCACACGGTGCCAGGGCAGGGACGGGGTCACACCGCAACACTCGGCCTTCCACAGTGACATTCTAGAAGCTACATGAAGTGTCCATGCCCTGTATCCAGGAGGACTTCAGTGTACAGATGAAAATAAATATTAATAATTATTTTTAAAACCCTTAAATAAAAAGGGAAAAAAAAACTCCCCCAGCCCTTATAGGCCCTGACTTCATGGCTGATGCCAGCTGGCCCCGTGGGCGAGCTTGGAGCAGATGGCAGTTGCTCCGTGTTGAGCTCCATGCCCAGTCCTTCTCAGAGAAGCTTCTAGAATCAGAACTGTCAACCCCTTAATTTGTTGCAGAGCGTTGGCTGCTTGTTTTCAGTGGCATTTGCTGTGGCCCACCACATCTGCCCTGTGGCCTCAGCTATCACTTGAAAATGGCATGGACTGTGACACGGGGTCCCTGTGGGGCTTACTCTCCGACAGCAGGCGAGGGCCTGCCAACCCAGAATGGCATCCCCTTCTTTGCCATCAATTAAAATACGCAATCGCAGGGGCCGGCACCATGAGTGGGAGGTGAAGTTGCCATCCGAGGTGCCCATGACTCACATGGCAGTAAGCCCATGTCCCGGCTGCTCCTCTTCTGCTCTGCCCCCTGCTGGTGCCCCTGGGAAGGTACACTGCACGTCCAGGCACGTGGACCCCAGTGCCCACGCGTGTGGACTCCAGCGCCCACGTGGGACACCCGCAGAAGCTCGTGGCCTTGGACCAGCCCAGCCCCGGTCACTGAGCCCATTTGGGAAACAGTAAACCCACGGAGGAAAGAGCTCTCTCCCTTCTGTCTATAGCTCTACCTCTCTTCTTCTAAATACATATGTATTTTTAAAAATATTTATTTTTTTGGAAAGATTTACAGAGAGAAGGAGAGACAGAAAGAGAAGCAGGGAGTTGGATGGGAAGTGGAGCATCTGGGACATGGACAGGCACCTGTATGGTCACTAGGCTAACTCGGCCTTTCAAATACACAAATCTTTTTTAAAAAATACAATAGCACACATATTTATAATAAACTGCTGACTAGGCAAGGTTGCATCCCGGCCCTTGGCCCATGGTGAGATCCTGCACAGGGATGCAGGGCTAGTTCAGCGATAAGGAGTTGCAGGCAGAAAGGTGGAGACAACACTGGAAGGCGGTAGGCAGCGAGTGTGACCCAGGCTGGTTTTAACAAAGTAGTAACAAAGTAACTACAGCTTACTGTGGGAGTTCAGTCAAAGACTGTACCAGTCGTGCTGAATAGCTTTAATCCAGCTGTAATCATTCCAAAATTACTGTAACTTAATGTTACGCTGAAGTTACAGAGTGGCAAATCGTGAGGAAGAGCGTCAGATGCACAATCAATCAGCCCGACAAGCTGAATTTGCAGATCACATTGACGGCAGTTTCTGAAATGCAGCAAGGTCTCTCGCACGCACTGATGAGCCACCGTTCTCAAGCAGCCAGCAAGGGGGAGCCTCACGGGGCAGGGCAGGGGTGCCGACATCCGCCACCTGTCACCCCTGAGCCTGCGCTCTGCTCCGCCTACAACCTGCTCCTCAGCATTTGCATTCTGCACCTGCAATGCGGACTGAGCCCTTGTACTGCCCCCAGCTCCCAAGGGGCCGTCCAGCCGGCGACCAGGTGCACTCCTCAAAGGGTGAGCCGTGAGTGGGGACATGTGCGGTACACTGGGCAGGCCACACTGCCTGCTCCCAAGGGTGCAAGGGCCGTACCAGAAGGCTGCATCACCCAAGCTCCTCCCAGCTCAGCTGCAGCCTCCACAGCGCCTCAGGCAGAGATGGCGCCCCAATGGACAGACAAGGGAAAGACGCCCTGGAGGCGTCCAAGGGACCAGGTAAACACCTCCAGGAAGAACAGCTGGAGGCGCCCAAGGGACCAGGTAAACACCTCCAGGAAAAACAGCTGGAGGCACCAGGCAGGGAGGTATAAAGGGGCTGCAGTCCAGGACCTCACACACTCACACTTCCATCACCCACTCACTCACTACCACACCCCACCACCCTCACCGCACACCATGGCCGCCTCCACCATGTCCGCCTGCTCCAGCAACCTCAGCTATGGCAGCAACATCTGCATGCCCGCTTCCCATGACTCCTGGCAGGTGGACGACTGCCCAGAGAGCTGCTGCGAGCCGCCCTGCTGTGCCCCCAGCTGCTGCGCCCCGTCCTCCTGTGTGACCCTCTGCTGCAAGCCTGTGTGCTGCAAGCCTGTCTGCTGTGTGCCTGTCTGCTCCTCCTCCTGCTGCCAGCAATCTAGCTGCCAGCCCTCATGCTGTGGCTCCTCCCCATGCCAGGAGTCCAGCTGTGTGACCCTCTGCTGCAGGCCGGTGTGCTGCAAGCCTGTCTGCTGTGTGCCAGTGTGCCAGTCTGAGGGCTCCTCCTGCTGCCAGCAGTCTAGCTGCCAGCCCTCATGCTGTGGCTCCTCCCCCTGCCAGGAGTCCTGTTGTGTGACCCTCTGCTGCAAGCCCGTGTGCTGCAAGCCTGTCTGCTATGTACCAGTCTGCTCTGAGGGCTCCTCCTCCTGCTGCCAGCAGTCTAGCTGCCAGCCCTCATGCTGTGGCTCCTCCCCATGCCAGGAGTCCAGCTACCTCTGCTGCAGGCCAGTGAGCTGCGTGCCCCTCTGCCCAGCACCCTCGTGCTGCCAGCCCAGCTGCTGCCCCTCATCCTGCTGCAGACCCTCCTCCAGCGTGTCCCTGCTCTGCCGCCCTGTGTGCAGACCCGCCTGCTGCGTGCCCGCCTCCTCCTGCTGTGTCCCCACCTCCTGCTGCCAGCCCAGCTGCTGCCGCCCGGCCTCCTCCAGCGTGTCCCTGCTCTGCCGGCCTGCCTGCCCCCGCCCGGCCTGCTGTGGCCTCTCCTCGGGCCAGTCCTGCTGCTGAGTGGCCCCCTGCAGAATCTGACTTCTCTGCCCACCGGCACCCTGCTTGCATCCGGCACAGCTCAATGACAAGCCCAGAGCAGCCGCATCTGCCTGCGCAGCCCCCACTGGCTCCTCTGCCTGGGGACCAAGAGCCCCGGCTGCTCCCTGCACACTCCCTGGCTTGATGACCTGTCCTCCCCTGGTCGGGGCTGGGCTCGGCGGTCTCTGCTCAGACCCTGAGCATCAATAAAATCCTCGTTGATCACATGAGACTCAGTGTTCACTGCGGCACACCTGAGCATGAGGGATGGGAGGCCTTGCCCTGGTCTGGGCCAGGTTTGGGACTGCTTACAGAACCAGCTGTGGGGGTCTGAGGGCTCCCGCACATGACCTGGAAGCCCATGTCCACCTTATCCTGCTGCCCAACTTCCGGTCAGCCTCCCCAGACCTGTGGGTTGCAGAAGCTTCTCTCTTGGTCAGGTGCTGTGGGCGTGACCTGAGCTCAGGCCAGTGTAGCTCTGCCACCTGACAGCAGACGCTGGCCTCCCACAGCCCAGGCACAACCCGGCCGAGCACATGTGTCTGGCCCCAGCTGGCCCTGGTCCTGCTGAGATCCCCTAGGGATGGTGTGGACGCTCTGGACCTGCACACACACATGCTCCCCGCTGCCCTGGTCACGAGCTGGGATGCAGAGAGCAGGGACCACGTGGCCGCCTTGACTCTGCTGGACTGGGGGGAGGACAGCAGGCAGCGAGTGAAGGTGACACGGCGGTGAGTGCAGGCGGCCGGAAAGAGAGGAGCTTGGTGGGAGGAGGGTACCCTAGAAGGGATGCACAGATGCACCTTCCCCACTGTCCACCGCGATGGTTCTGGGATGCTGCCACCTGTCCCAGCCCTGGGCTGGCGGGGGACCCAGCCTCATGCTGTGGCACTGAGGGGCCAGCCCTGGTTGGCTCACAAACCCCACTTGCTGGGTTTACACAGCAGGCTTGGGTGTGGGCATCAAGGCCCAGGCCCAAGACCCGGGTGAGGGCAGGGCTGGCCGCTTTCACAGTGTGTCCAGGTGCCAGTCCACATCCCCCTGTCATTTTGTTGGTACAAAGCCCATGCCAGTGCCATGCTGTAACCTAATCCCTCTGGAAATGGCGCACTCTGGGGGCCTGAGGGTTTGAGGCGCGTTTCGGGGAACACTTAGTGCCCTGAGAGCTGTAGCTCTGCTCCGGAAGGTGCTGGAACCCTGTCTCTGCAACCTGGGGGTGGCCGTGAGGCTCTGGTGCTTAGTTGCTGCCTAGGTAGCCGCAAGCACCGTCTTTGGCATTCCGCGGACTCAGAGCATCTGGCTGTCCAGGCTCCCTCACAAACACTTGTAAGTACACAGCCCGGGGATGATCTGCAGCTGTCTGCTTCCTCAGCTGCACGCTGGACGGAATGGACATGTGTCCTCGTAGGGACATGTGTCTAGATGTGGTCCAGAGCGAGGCTGACACCCCAAGCACTACAAGGCCACGTGAAGGGAAGTGGCGAGTGTGGCCAGCCCGGGTCCCGGTTCCACACGGGGTGAGAGCTGCCAGATGATAAAGGAAACACCTGATGTGGGTTCCTCCTCCACATGCAGCACTGTGAGGGTGACGCAGCGCATCCCGAGTGTCCGACACGACCTGGACATGCAGCACCGTGAGGGTGGACACAGCGCATCCCGAGTGTCCGACACGACCTGGACATGCAGCACCGTGAGGGTGGACACAGCGCATCCCGAGTGTCCGACACGACCTGGACATGCAGCACTGTGAGGGTGACACAGCGCATCCCGAGTGTCCGACACGACCTGGACATGCAGCACCGTGAGGGTGGACACAGCGCATCCCGAGTGTCCGACACGACCTGGACATGCAGCACTGTGAGGGTGACACAGCGCATCCCGAGTGTCCGACACGACCTGGACATGCAGCACCGTGAGGGTGACACAGCGCATCCCGAGTGTCCGACACGACCTGGACATGCAGCACTGTGAGGGTGACGCAGCGCATCCCGAGTGTCCGACACGACCTGGACATGTGCCACCGTGAGGGTGGACACAGCGCATCCCGAGTGTCCGACACGACCTGGACATGCAGCACTGTGAGGGTGACACAGCGCATCCCGAGTGTCCGACACGACCTGGACATGCAGCACCGTGAGGGTGGACGCAGCGCATCCCGAGTGTCCAACACGAGCTGGACATGTGGCGTGAGTCTGTTGATGTGTGGCAACCCCAGCACCATGGCGAGGGTCCTTACCACAAATGTGGGCCGTGAGCGTACATGTTGGTAGCTGCTGTATTCCTAGATGCAGGATCCCAGGCCAGCGCAGCCAGTTTTAACGTCTGAGGGAAGCTGTCCGAGCCCTTGCTTCGGATCTTGCCTTCCAAGGAAAGGAATAAAGGAATCCTGGCTGAATCCACCTGATTGGAGCTCAGGAGAGGCAAAGGCATCCATCCCGCCAGGCAGGCTGCGGGTCCAGCAAGAGCTGGGACCTACTGACCTCGCCCTGCCCCCACCCCAGGGCGGCGGCCTTGAGGAGGGTGCTCCTGGGAGGAGGGGAGCAGGCCTGGCCTCTCTGGCCAGCTGGTGGCCCCAACGGTGACTCGGGGCTTTCCTTCAGCTCGCTGATCTGAGTCCTGCCAAGGCCGAGGCAGCTGCCCAAGCACCGGTCAGAACCTGGGAATGACCCGGCCGTGGCCCTGTGCACAGAGGGCGTCTGCTGGGCAGTGGGCACCCTCAGGTCTGCACGGGAGCACTGGGGATGGAGGCACGAGGGCTCACAGGCTGGGGAGGACTGCACCACCCCACACGTTCCTGGGGACCAGGCGGGGGCTCTGGGAGGAACTGAGAGGCCCTCGGCTCTCACGTGTGGCTGAACCCCAAGTTCTGAGCAAGCGACAAGTGCAGAAGAAGCTGGTCAGTTGGGGTGTGGGGGGCGCACCTGCATGGAGCCCAGCTGGGAGGGGCTTGTCAGGCCGCTGTCTGAACACGCCGTGAAGAATGGTCATTCCAGAAATGATCCAGAAAATTTGCAAACTGAAGTCAACTCCAAGTACACAAGCAGCACTCAAGAGCTACAGGAGAGGGAATACAGCCCCCACAGACACCAGATCATGACATTAAGATGCCCAGCGTTGCATTCGGCACCATGGCTCAACTGGCTCAACTGGCTCAACTCCCATTGCGAGTGCCAGGATCCCATACGAGTGCTGGTTCACATCCCGGCTGCTCCACTTCCCTTCCAGCTCCCTGCCTGTGGCCTGGGAAAGCAGCGGAGGATGGTCCAAAGCCTTGGGACCCTGCACCAGCGTGGGAGACCTGGGAGAGGTGCCTGGCTCCTGGCTTTAGTTCAGCTCAGCTCAGCTCAGCTCAGCTCTGGCTGCTACAGCCATTTGGGAAGTGGGCCAGCAGGTGGGAGATCTTTCTCTCTGTCCCTCCTTCTCTCTGTAAATCTGTCTTTCCAATAAAAATCTTTAAAAAGCAATGCTTAATGTTAAGCAAAATATAACATCATCTAAACAGGTGAGCGAGGCCAGGAGACAGACGTCTCAGCCATGAGAGGGACACGCAGAAACAGCGAGGACGTCCCGGTGTTGGGGCTTGCAGGTCAGGGCTGGTCCGGCAGATGGGCCGGGAAGGCCTAGTCAGAACAGCACGGAAAACAGCAAAATACAGAGTCCAACTGGCTTGTGAGCCAGCTGCAGGAGTAACAGGGGACCCAGAGGAAAAGGGAGCAGAGAAAGATACTTGAAGGACAAAAATAGACAGAAAGTAGCAATGGACAGGGCTGGGAATGAGCAGTAAGGGTGCAGGCTTTCTCAGCGCGGTGGAGGGGACGGGCTGTGTGCTCCTCTGTAAACACCTGACGCTGCCCCTTAGACAGTTAAACAGCGAGATTTTATGTTCCGCGTATGTGGCTGCTGTAACACTTGTTAAATGTTCAGGAAACACTGCCTCGGAATCCGTGCCATCCGAGGAGCTCGCTGGACTCCACGGGGAGTGAGCTCGGGTGGGCGGAGGAGGCGCGGTGCGCCCAGCTGCCGGAATGCAGGTCGAGGGAGCGCCCGGAACCCAGCCAGGGGAGATGGGCAGTGCCCAGCCAGCGGAAAGCAGCAAGGCGGGAGGCAAGGGGCCTGTCCAGTGCCGGGCGGGAGCAGACCTCAGCACTGAGGGGAAGTCGGGGCCAGGCAGCCAAGTCCGCGGCTGCAGCACCTGCCAGCCAGGACTGCTGCAAACGGAAGCCACAGGGAGGCGTACACCAGCAAAGGCGAGTCTGAGTGTGCAGAGGAACGTGGCCACGCACGCACACATCCCCTTTGTGGGTGCACCGTGTGACACATGGCCACCTCTCACTGCGACCGCTGGCTCTGGCTTTCCCCTTGGTCTAGCTACATGTTGGGTAATTCCATGGTTCTCTTCTGGAATCCACTTCTGGTTGTTGCTCTAGTTTCAGTCCCGTTTAGCCACACCCTTCTTTGCTTCCTGCCTTCCGGCTCCGGTTCCCGGTGCTGTTCCTCTTCCAGTTCCCAAGGGAAGCGTTGAGATGATTGTTCCTTGTTGGCTGTGTGTATAGGCGTCCACTTCCCAGTGCGCCCTGGGCTCCTCGTGCCCCAGGACCTTGGCTTTGGGGTGTCTCCATCGTCAGGCTTTCCTTCAATCGCCTCCTGGACCTGGGGTGGCGCGAGTGGGTGTTGTTTAATTACCACATGTCTCGGAAGGCGCAGGCTTCCCTGCCGGGCTGATGCAATGTCAGCTTGCATTGAGTTCAGGGAGGATTCTCGGCTTGATTTCAGTCATTGCAAACGCGCTGAGAACTGTTCAGTGCACTTACGCGTGGTCCAGCCTGCGGAGCCAGGAGAGCCGCGGGCTGCCTGAGTCCGTTAGCTCCCGAGGAAGCCATCACGCTCGGGTCCCGGGTGCAAGGCCTTCCCTGAGGGGTTTAGGGCTGTAAGTCCTTCACGCTCACTCAGGTCTGCTGACCTTTGACCTAGCCCTTTAATTATTTTTTACTTATTGGGAATGACTAAGCGAAGTCATAACCAGCCATTTCTTCATTTCTATTAAGTTGGATTCATATATTTTGAGGTTCTAATGTTAGGTACACAGATGACCAAAATTGTCTCATTTTAAAAAACCTTTTATTTACTTATTGATTTGAAAGTCAGAGTTGCAAAGAAAGATGGAGAGAGGTGAGAGAGAGAGAGAGAGAGAGAGAGCGAGCATTTCCTTTACCGGCTCACTCCCGAGGCCAGGACTGGCCAGGCTGAAGGCAGGAGCTTTGCCTGAGTTTCCCGGTAGGACTGGGCCCTGTTCTGGCACCTTCCCCGGCCGTCAGAGGACTGGGTGTGAAGCAGGGCGTTGTTAGGAGCCGGGAAGCTGAGGCCCAAGAATGCAGCAGGTCTCACAAAGGGGCAGGTGCACGTGGCAGCTGAGCTGAGGCCGTGTCCCACACCAGCGGGCCTGAGGTCAAGCCCGCTCTCCGGGGCCCGTCCCAGCCTCCTGCCAGGGCAGACGCGGGAGGCAGTGCTGAGGAGCCCAGTAACAGGGCCGCTGCCTCAGCGCGGGAGACTGGGACCCTGGTTCTGAGCATCTCGCCCCGTCATGGCCCTTAGCCATGGCACCGATCCGGAGACTGAGCCAGCCAGCGCTGGCTCTCCGTGTCTCTCACTGTGGCCCTTAACTGGATAAAGCGTTCCTGGCCAAAAGCCTCTTCTAGACAATTCTCCACAGGAAACAGAAGCAGAACTCACAGGACGCAGAAAGGCCCGTGTTACTGGCCGCCGCAGCCACGTGGGAGTGACCGGCAGATGGAGGGCCTGCCTCTGCAGCTCTCTCTGTAACTGCCTTCCAAACAAAGGTCGGTAAATTCTAAGAGAGAGAGGACACAAAAAACGACCTCATGGCAGAACTCATCACCATGACCTGACAGTGGAGGCAGGCCAGATGTCCACCCCGGCCAGCCGATGGACGTGTCAGGCTGGGATCCACCTCGCCAATGCCCCGAACAGGCGACGGCGGAGAGCCACACTGGATGGGGCGCACGGAGAAGCTGCCTTCTACATGGATCTACTGTTGGGAGACAGAAAGTTCTGGAAAGAGATGGCAGAATTCTGTGACTGCTACCCTCCGCCAGACGCCGCTGCAGAAGGGACCAGGGCTGCGCCCGACCCGCTGCATTCAGTGTTGTCAGAGTTTAAATGGGACACTGACACTGAGACTGGCGACACGGGTCTCATCTAAGTTGGCCTTTCCTCCATCATGTCTAAGGCAACCATCCTGTGACAGCTCAGTGGCTCACTGCTGACCAGTCTTTTCCTTATGGTTGCATGGTGGGGACACTGGTCAGCAGCGGCCTGGGGCGAGGCGGGTCACACCTGACCTCCTCAGCCCTGCGGCCCGGGGGTCTCTGGCTGAGTCTACTGCTTTGCCCCTGTCTCACCAGCTCACCCTGCTCTTGTGAGTTTTATCCCGGGCGACACCTTCTTGTCTCGTTAAAGGCACAGTACAGGACCAGCCGGGGTCATGCCCGGGACATGAGAGCCACTCCAGAGCACCAGCAGGAGCCCACGGGTCCGTCCCAGAGACGCTGCTTTCCCACCTGTGTCCCTGCAGCCAGGCACAGAGAGCAGGCTCCGCCCAGCGTAGACAGAGTTTTACGAGCTGAGCCCCAGCCACAAACAGGAAGGGGAAAGCCGCTGAGGGCGCTGCTGCTGCGACAACACCTGGGGTATAAGAACCCCAAGTCCTGAGCCTGCAGCACTCACACCTCCTCCACCCACTCACTCACTCACTGCACACACCCCTCCACCCTCACCGCACACCATGGCCGCCTCCACCATGTCCGCCTGCTCCAGCAACCTCAGCTACGGCAGCAACATCTGCATGCCCGCTTCCCACGACTCCTGGCAGGTGGACGACTGCCCAGAGAGCTGCTGCGAGCCGCCCTGCTGTGCCCCCAGCTGCTGCGCCCCGTCCTCCTGTGTAACCCTCTGCTGCAAGCCTGTGTGTTGCAAGCCTGTCTGCTGTGTACCAGTGTGCCAGTCTGAGGGCTCCTCCTGCTGCCAGCAGTCTAGCTGCCAGCCCTCATGCTGTGGCTCCTCCCCCTGCCAGGAGTCCAGCTGTGTGACCCTCTGCTGCAAGCCCGTGTGTTGCAAGCCTGTCTGCTGTGTGCCAGTATGCCAGTCTGAGGGCTCCTCCTGCTGCCAGCAGTCTAGCTGCCAGCCCTCATGCTGTGGCTCCTCCCCATGCCAGGAGTCCAGCTGTGTGACCCTCTGCTGCAAGCCCGTGTGTTGCAAGCCTGTCTGCTGTGTGCCAGTATGCCAGTCTGAGGGCTCCTCCTGCTGCCAGCAGTCTAGCTGCCAGCCCTCATGCTGTGGCTCCTCCCCATGCCAGGAGTCCAGCTGTGTGACCCTCTGCTGCAAGCCCGTGTGCTGCAAGCCTGTCTGCTGTGTGCCAGTGTGCCAGTCTGAGGGCTCCTCCTACTGCCAGCAGTCTAGCTGCCAGCCCTCGTGCTGTGGCTCCTCCCCATGCCAGGAGTCCAGCTACCTCTGCTGCAGGCCAGTGAGCTGCGTGCCCCTCTGCCCAGCACCCTCGTGCTGCCAGCCCAGCTGCTGCCCCTCATCCTGCTGCAGACCCTCCTCCAGCGTGTCCCTGCTCTGCCGCCCTGTGTGCAGACCCGCCTGCTGCGTGCCCGCTTCCTCCTGCTGTGCCCCTGCGTGCTGCTGCCAGCCCAGCTGCTGCCGCCCGGCCTCCAGCGTGTCCCTGCTCTGCCGGCCTGCCTGCCCCCGCCCGGCCTGCTGTGGCCTCTCCTCGGGCCAGTCCTGCTGCTGAGCGGCCTGAATTGCAGGCTGTGATGGGTGGGTCTCCCAACTGCCCCAGCCATTGCCCTTCTCTGGCTGCCATAGAGCATGGACAAGGCTGGTCTCGTCCTGGCGCCTGCAGAGACCCAGCTCTGGTCAGCACTCCATGCCCCGGGGTGACCCTGGGTGGTCTCTCCCCCCACAGTCCTAATAAAGCTGTGCCTTGCTTACGGTAACCATTCGTGCTCTCTGTACACATGGATCGAGGAGGGGTGGGCAGGGAGGATTGGGGTCTCTCAGAACTGCAGCCCACACACACCCGCACCAAGGATGACACGCAGAGGAGACCCCCGACCCGTGCACGGACCCCACACACACGGGTTGCACACGTTGTGTATATGCCATGACACCACGGATCTGGTGTGGAGCCTAGCACGATGCTGAAGGCTGCGCGATATCTGATCTGGGCCTGAGACCTGGCAGGCTCAGCCACGTCGCGGGACAGGGCCTGCTGGGCGCCTGGGCCGGGCGGAGAGAAGCTGCCAGCTGCAGGTGCAACGGTGTGTACTCCAGGGTGATGCGCTGGCAGAAACTGAGCCATCCTGTTAGAGGAAACACCCAGGACCAGAGCCGGGAAGCAGGTAACCGTCAGGCTGTGGTGACAGGACCCTCGGCCCTTCCCATCCCGGAGGTGGGCCTTGGCCCTGTCCCTCCTTGCAAATACAAATGCACCAGGGGCAGAGACGGAGGGAGAAGCGCTGTGGGGCTCCTGGCAAGGCAAGGCAGGACCCACAGTACCTTCACACCCAACGGGAAGGGCTGGTGCCCTGGCGCAGCGGGTTAAGCCGCCAGCTCCTGCTCATGGCCTGGGGAAACAGCAGAGAAGTCCCGAGTGCCTGAGAGACACTGCAGGAGCTGCAGCCCCAGGCTGGAACTGCGCCAGTCCTCTGCATGGCCTCTGGGTGTCGGGAGTTCATGGAAGGCCTCTCCCTCATTCTTGCTCTCTCTCTCTCTCTCTCTCTCTCTCCCCCTGCAACTCTGTTTCTCAATTAAGTAAATCTCCAAAAGGAAAAAACAAAACCCACCTGCCCACGGACGGCCCACCCCCCGTCAGCCCGTGCAGAGGAGGAACCTGTGTGTTTGAGACTCCTGGGACCGCAAGCGAGGACAGCAGAGCCCCAGCAGCCGGGCGCCCCAAGGCGGAACGGGGGCAGGGGGAGGACACGTGCCAGTTCCCTGGCCCCAGCAGGCACTGATGCGGCAACTCTTTGCAAGAGGCCATGGGCCAAGTTTTGGGCCACACGGTGACTACCCAGCTGTTACAAAGTGGACGGATTTCTTCCAATGCCTATAATTCAGCCCAGGGCCGGAGCAGGCAGCTTGGTGGGCACACCCAGCTAGCTGAGGTGCCAGCCTGGGTGTATGCGAGGGCTGTCTGGCCAGGGCCTCCCCTCTGCGTTCCTATAGCCCAGACCCAGCTGCCCACACTGCTTCTGTGACACGGCCCTGGTTGATCAGAGACTTGGCAGAGCAAAGGCTGAGGGTCACCGTGAAAATCCCCTCCCTGGGTGGCTTGGTGGCCCTGGTGACGGATGAGTCAGTGGCTTTAGCAAGCAGCTCGGGAACAAGGAGCCTGGCATCGTGGCATCAAGTGAAACAACTGCTGGCACACCTGTAGCCTGAGTCCTTGGCAGAAAATGCAGCTGGGAGAGCAGCCAACAGCCCCAAACTGGGGTCCGTGCCAACTGTGTGGGAGACCTGGAGGGAGTTCAAGGCTCACGGGTTGTGCTTTGGGAACGAACAGCAAATAACCCAGACCACAGTAACCAACCCAGACCACAGTAACCAACCCAGACCACAGAAACCAACCCAGACCACAGTAACCAACCCAGACCACAGTAACCAACCCAGACCACAGTAACCAACCCAGACCACAGAAACCAACCCAGACCACAGTAACCAACCCAGACCACAGTAACCAACCCAGACCACAGTAACCAACCCAGACCACAGTAACCAACCCAGTCCACAGAAACCAACCCAGACCACAGTAACCAACCCAGACCACAGTAACCAACCCAGACCACAGTAACCAACCCAGACCACAATAACCAACCAAGACCACAGAAACCAACCCAGACCACAGTAACCAACCCAGACCATAGTAACCAACCCAGTCCACAGAAACCAACCCAGACCACAGTAACCAACCCAGACCACAGTAACCAACCGCAGCCACAGTAACCAACCCAGACCACAGAAACCAGCCCAGCCACAGTAACCAACCCAGACCACAGTAACCAGCTCAGACCACAGTCACCAGCCCAGCCACAGTAACCAACCCAGACCACAGTCACCAGCCCAGCCACAGTAACCAACCCAGACCACAGTAACCAGCTCAGACCACAGTCACCAGCCCAGCCACAGTAACCAACCCCAGCCACAGTAACCAGCCCAGCCACAGTAACCAGCTCAGACCACAGTAACCAGCTCAGACCACAGTCACCAGCCCAGACCACAGTAACCAGCCCAGCCACAGTAACCAACCCAGACCACAGTAACCAGCTCAGACCACAGTAACCAACCCAGACCACAGTAACCAGCCCAGACCACAGTCACCAGCTCAGACCACAGTAACCAGACCAGCCACAGTAACCAACCCAGACCACAGTAACCAGCCCAGCCACAGTAACCAACCTAGCCCACAGTCACCAGCCCAGCCACAGTAACCAACCCAGAGCACAGTAACCAGCTCAGACCACAGTAACCAGCCCAGACCACAGTAACCAACCTAGCCCACAGTCACCAGCCCAGCCACAGTAACCAACCCAGACCACAGTAACCAGCTTTGACCAGCAGTCGCCCAGGGCCCGTTGCCTGCCAGGTGAGTTGCCAACATAATGCTAGTTCATGAAGGAGAAATCAGGACCTTTCCACCCCTGTGCCAGCTCCTGTGCCACCTCCTGCCCATGTCGACCCCAGTGTGTGAATTGCTGCCACCGTGTGGGAGAGCAGGATGAGTGCCCAGCTTGGGCCTGGCCCAGCCTGACTGTCTGGGACCCTGGGGCATGAGCCCGCAGCTGGCAGCTCTCTGTGCGGGTGAACCAGTGGGCACAGCACTCTGCTCTTCCCATCTTTCTCTCCGTCATCCCCGTCAATGACTTTAATAAAGCAATTCCAGGAGCGGCTCTGGCAGAGCAGGTTGATGGTTCCCATTGGCACGTGGTCGGCGTCCTGGCACCTCCACTTCTCCGGCTCCTGCTGAGGGGCACAGCGGGCAGACTCGGCGGCCCCTTCCCATGTGGGAGACCTGGGCTCCTGGCTTTGGCAACAGCCAGCCCACAGCTGCGGTGGCACCTGGAAAGGCATTCTCTCTCATGAGCGCTCTTTAAAATATTAAATTAAAACCAGAATCTTTTTCTTTTCACATTTAGGACAACAAGGTTTTCTTAAAAGCTTGACCTGCTCTGGGAAAAATCTGCCTTTTGATTCTAAAGTCTGTTTTGTATTTTTAATTTATTATTCAAGAGAGAGAGAAAGAAAGCGTGCTTACATGCTGCTCCTCTCCAAGGAGGCCGCACGGCCGGGCCTGGGCTGGGCTGGTCCTCCCCGGGGCACAGCATGCCCGCCAGGCCGCCTGCGTGAGTGCCAGGGGCCCAGGACCGGCAGCAGAGAGCTGGAGGCCAGAGTCGGCTGGGACGCCGGGCCCTGTGCGCGTGCTTACTCGTATCGGGGCTGGTGAGGACCTGCACGCTGGTGGCCACAGCAGTCAGCCCCAACTGCCTCCCTGGCCACCAGAGTGAGGAGGCACAGTGACCCGCAGTGACCGCCAGGCAGGCTCCACTCTGACATGGAACCCGCAGTGTGCAGAGCTTGGCCACATCGCCTCATGGGAACCTCACGGGCACTTACACGGTGCGCTGGCCGGGCTGGGCACACAGGCCGGGCAGCACCAGGAGGCCTGGCCACAGGATGCTGGGCAGCACAGGGACTGGCAAACACAGGGCTCCAGACAGGAGGTGGCTACAGCACCCACGAGCCACACAGGAGGGGGCGCAGCTTCTGCTGCTCCGGGCTGGGCAGCAGGTGGTGGGGCCACAGCAGAGGGGGCGGGCAGGCGGGCGCTGGGAGCCGCAGGTGTGGCCCCTGGCGGCTGAGGCTGGTTTTCAAAGGTGACCTCAAGTATACCTGCCCTGCCCTCCTCCCCCACCCTGTGATTAAAGCTCACTCCCACATGTCCTAAGGTTTATGTGTACACATGTACACACAGATTTATGTAAGCATATGGTCTAATATTTTATGTATACTTACATGAAATGTTATAGTTATACTTTACATATGCGTGCCCCTATATATTTATATGAAATTTTGTTTATAATTACATTGCTCTATATGCATGCTTATATATTTTGAAGGTTCTCGGATCTGTACACAGATTTTTTTTTAAGTTAAACTTGGGGATTTTGCTCATTTCCTCAACATCGTTCCCTCCTCCTCCGATAAACCCACACTCCAGGCTCCGCCTCCCCCAGGCTCCGCCCCCCAGCCCCCCATGCTGGGGACACAGGGCAGACACTTCAGCCACCACATCGGGTGCCTCCCAAGCCCAACCACAGGCCCTGGGGTGGGGCTGCCGGCGCAGCAGTCCACAGCATCCAAGTCCATCCCGTGCCCTGCCCCGGCCTCCGGGCTGTGTCCCACCACAGCTTCCACCTGCTGCTGGCCAGCTCCGGCCCGACTCCCCTGCGTCTGAAGGCCGCCCAGCCGCGCCTGTTGGCAGAGGAGCCCGTCCCTGTCTCTGGGACCCCTTTCCTGTCAGCAGTTACCCCAGGCATCCATTGCTTGGCTCACTCACATGTGCCTTGCCCACCAGGTTGGCCCCCGAGGCCCAAGCACACTTGCACATGGTGGTGTTTGCTGTAAGAACAAGCGGTCATGTGCCAATTGCTAGTGGGCAGGGGCCAGCCGGCTCTGTGGGGACAGCTGGTGGGCGTGGTGGGCTGTGGGAGTCCCAGGTATTGCTACCATATACATAACAGAGAGCGGTGTGCTGGGCTCCCACACAACTTCATCCGGAAAAAATAGTGGGAGGGGTGGCAGGGTGTTGTAGCAAGCTAATCCTCCACCAGCTGCTCCACTTCCAATCCATCTTCCTGCTCATGAGCCAGGGAGAGTAGCAGAAGACGGCCCAAGCCCTTGGGCCCTGCACGGGACACCCGGATGGAGCTCCTGGCTCCCGGCTTCAGAGCTGCTGCTTTGGGACACTCTCTTTTTCTCAATAACTGATTTTCACATAATAGATAAATCTTGGGCCTGGCTTGGTGGCCTAGTGGCTTAAGTTCTCCACCTGCACGTGCTGGGATCCCACACGGGTGCCAGTTCTAATCCTGGTGACCCTGCTTCCTATCCAGCTCCCTGCCTGTGGCCGGGGAAAGCAGGCAAGGATGAGACCCTGCACCCACGTGGGAGACCTAGAGGAGGCTCCAGGCTCCTGGCTCCTGGCCTGGAGCAGCTCAGGCCTTTTCAGCCACTTGGGGAGTGATTCAGCGGATGGAAGGTCTTCCTCTCTGTCTCTCTCCTCTCTGTATATCTGACTTTCCAATAAAAATAAAATAAATCTTCAAAAAATAATAAATAAATCTTATATAATAATAATGTTAAAAAACATACTGGGAGCCAATCGTGGCCCACAGAGCAGTTTACCAACCTAGGTGTTAAAAATTCAAAACATGTGATTATCTCAATGTCTGTGTTGGCCGTGTGAGACAGAAAGGTGCCTGGAGCCGCACTCCGGTGCTGCCGACACTGTGCGGCCTGAGCAAGCCACACGCAGCCCAGATGGCGTCCACTCAGCCTCCGCTGCTTACAGAGAGACTGACCTCCAAGCCACGCTGTTTATACGGCGGGGTTGAGCGTGGGCGAGTGCATCCCAGGCTAACAAGTGGTTGGGGGGCTGTGCAAACAGCCAGGAGGAAGAGAGCCGGCAGCTTCCCCATCGGCCTGCGGCCAGGCCCGGGTATAAAAACCCTGGAGGCGGAGGAGGCTCAGTCAGCCGCACACCTGCCTCGCCACGCCAGCCAGCCACAGCCGCCATGTGCCACTCCAGCTGCTCCTCTGGCTGCCCGCCTGCCTGCTGCGTGCCAGTGACCTGCCGGCCCGCCACCGTGTGCGTGCCCGTGCGGTGCCAGGTGCCCTGCTGTGTGCCCGTGAGCTGCAGGCCTGTCGTGTGCGTGGCCCCCTCCTGCCAGGCCTCCACATGCGTGCCCGTGAGCTGCAGGCCCGTCATGTGTGTGGTCCCCTCCTGCCAGCCTTCTAGCTCCTCCCTGCTCTGTAGACCTGTCTCCTGCAGTACACCCGCCTGCTGCTGAACCTGAGCTCCATGCCAGCTGCCCTGACATAGTTCCCGGGGCCCCAGGCTCAGAAATGAACTGCGGGGTGAGGGTGTAGCAGAATGATCCAGAAGCCATTCTGACCCTGGGGGTCCTCACCAGGGTGTCCTGGCTCCTGGGGTTGTCACTTGCTCATGTGAACAAAATAAAGCAGCTTTCCTAACGCGGCTGGTCTGTCTGTCCTCTCGCCTGTTGTTGTAAATTCCAGCACTCAGAAGTCTTCCTCCAGTGGCTGAGCCGAACTGGGGACTTTCTGGAGCGGAGCCACTGTCCCCGCACTGAGACCCAGGACTGTGGGCCGGGGAGGGTGGAGACAGAGGTGAGAGGTGCTGTGCCCTGCGGTGAGACAGGCCTGGGGCCAGACCCCACTGTGGTGCCTTGAAAGCCAACCCCACCCCACAGGGAGGTCAGGGGCTCCCCAACATCCACCATGACAGCAGGCACAAAGCAGCGTGTCCGGCAGAAAGGGGGGAAAGAGTCCAAGACCCTCCCCCACGCTGCAGGTCATCAGCATGGAGGGCCTGCTTCACACGACCGGGGCCAGCACAGCAGGGCCCCTCCGGGCTGCCCCTCCAGGCTGGGAAGCAGGTGGGGACACCTGCTGAGGCTGCTATGCAAGGTATCTGAGAGCAAACCACTGTGCTTCTGTCCTCGCCCTGGTGGCCACAGCAAGACACACGAGACAACAGGTGCAGGAGCGGCTGCAGAGGGCTGGCAACGTCCACAGGGGAGTTACGGAGAGCAGCAGAGACGGCCAGGACCGGTGTGGCCGGGACGTAAGGTTGGCCTGCACACCCGCCCTGCCCTCCGCCCAGCCCTGCCCAGCTGCAGCCTCCAGAGGCCCCACCTGCTGCTCCCAGGGCTGCCTGCCCGCCTGCCCACCCCTCTCTGCTGTGGCCTCCCCACCTGCTGCCCAGCCCTGAGCTGCAGGAGCCGCCACCCGGCCGGCCTCCCATGTAGCTCTGCTGTGTTGCCCATGCAGGAAGTGGCCACCTCCCCGGTGCCCTGTGGATGCCAGTTCCCATGCTGTCCATTACCCTATGGCCAGGCCTCCTCCTGAAGCCTGGGCTGCTGTGTGCCCAGCCTCTATGAGGAGGGGTGCTGGCTGCCTGTGGGCTGCACACCTGTGAGCCCCCCACCTGCTGTGGCTGCCTGTGGGCTGCAGGCTTGTCATGTGCACACTTGTGAGGCCCCCCACCACCTGCTACTCAGGACCTGCCCAGGCTTTCCACGTGCCATGAGTTTGGTCATGTGTGAACGCCCTGGGGACCAAGGCTCAGCCAGCACAGCCAGGACAGGTCCCCTGGCGCTGGTGCCTCCTCCCTGGTGCACAGCCATGCCATCAGAGACCCGCGGGCCTGGGTCAGCTCATCCCTCCTTGGTCAAGTAGACAGACAGAGGCAGACCTTCCCTAAATGACCAAACATGATAGAGTTTCCGTCCCTGTCCTGTCATATTCTAAAACTGCTCCCCAAGGCTGAGGGACCCAGGAAGCCTGCCCTGGACTGGTGGTCTGGGCCGAGGGCCCTGCTCTGAGGAAGGGGCTGCTTGGGGCCTCGCCCAGGCTCCCCTGACCCCATGGGGAGCAGTGGGCTGTCAGAGGTCATATCTCTTCTTTCCTCAATGCTACCAGGCAGGGAAAGAAGAGAGACCCATCTGTGCTCCCCTGTGTGCGGGGTGCTCCCCTGTGTGCTCCTCTGTGTGTGGGGTGCTCCCCTGTGTGTGCAGTGCTCCCCTGTGTGTGCAGTGCTCCCCTGTGTGTGGGGTGCTCCCCTGTGTGTGGGGTGCTCCCCTGTGTGTGGGGTGCTCCCCTGTGTTGGGGTGCTCCCATGTGCTGTGTGGGGTACTCCCCTGTGTTGGGGTGCTCCCGTGTGCTGTGCAGGGTGCTCCCCTGTGTTGGGGTGCTCCCGTGGGCTGTGCGGGGTGCTCCCCTGTGTTGGGGTGCTCCCCTGTGTGGGGGGTGCTCCCCTGTGTGTGGGGTGCTCCCCTGTGTTGGGGTGCTCCCATGTGCTGTGTGGGGTACTCCCCTGTGTTGGGGTGCTCCCGTGTGCTGTGCAGGGTGCTCCCCTGTGTGCAGGGTGCTCCCCTGTATGTGGGGTGCTCCCCTGTGCTGTGCGGGGTGCTCCCCTGTGTTGGGGTGCTCCCATGTGCTGTGCGGGGTGCTCCCCTGTGTTGGGGTGCTCCCCTGTGTGCTCCTCTGTGTGGGGTGCTCCTCTGTGTGTGGGGTGCTCCCCTGTGTGTGCAGTGCTCCCCTGTATGTGGAGTGCTCCCGTGTGCTGTGTGGGGTGCTCCCCTGTGTTGGGGTGCTCCCTTGTGTGCTCCCCTGTGTTGGGGTGCTCCCGTGTGCTGTGCAGGGTGCTCCCCTGTGTTTGCAGTGCTCCCCTGCATGCGAGGTGCTCCCTGTGTTGGGGTGCTCCCCTGCGTGCGGGGTGCTCCTGTGTGCTGTGCGGGGTACTCCCCTGTGTTGGGGTGCTCCCTTGTGTGCTCCTCTGTGTGTGGGGTGCTCCCCTGTGTGTGCAGTGCTCCCCTGTATGTGGGGTGCTCCCCTGTGTGCTGTGTGGGGTACTCCTCTGTGTGTGGGGTGCTCCTCTGTGTGCTCCCCTGTGTGTGCAGTGCTCCCCTGTGTTGGGGTGCTCCCATGTGCTGTGCGGGGTGCTTCCCTGTGTTGGGGTGCTCCCCTGTGTGTGGGGTGCTCCCCTGTGTGTGCAGTGCTCCCCTGTATGTGGGGTGCTCCCGTGTGTGCTGTGTGGGGTACTCCTCTGTGTGTGGGGTGCTCCTCTGTGTGCTCCCCTGTGTGTGCAGTGCTCCCCTGTGTTGGGGTGCTCCCGTGTGCTGTGCGGGGTGCTCCCCTGTGTTGGGGTGCTCCCCTGTGTGTGGGGGGTGCTCCCCTGTGTTGGGGTGCTCCCCTGTGTTGGGGTGCTCCCATGTGCTGTGTGGGGTACTCCCCTGTGTTGGGGAGCTCCCCTGTGTGTGGGGTGCTCCCCTGTGTGTGGGGTGCTCCCCTGTATGTGGGGTGCTCCCGTGTGTTGTGCGGGGTGCTCCCCCGTGTTGGGGTGCTCCCATGTGCTGTGCGGGGTGCTCCCCTGTGTTGGGGTGCTCCCGTGTGCTGTGCGGGGTGCTCCCCTGTGTTGGGGTGCTCCCGTGTGCTGTGCGGGGTGCTTCCCTGTGTTGGGGTGCTCCCCTGTGTGTGGGGTGCTCCCCTGTGTGTGCAGTGCTCCCCTGTATGTGGGGTGCTCCCGTGTGTTGTGTGGGGTGCTCCCCTGTGTTGGGGTGCTCCCCTGTGTGCTCCCCTGTGTTGGGGTGCTCCCGTGTGCTGTGCGGGGTGCTCCCCTGTGTTGGGGTGCTCCCCTGTGTGCTCCCCTGTGTTGGGGTGCTCCCGTGTGCTGTGCGGGGTGCTCCCCTGAGCACATATGTGCTGTCTGTGTGTGTGTGTGCATGAGTGTGTGTGTTGCGTCTGGCACACACTGGCTGTGGGCTGACTTCCGTGTGCATGTCCAGGGTGACTGGCTTCATTTCCTGTCCATGTCACTTGCAGTTTAAATACCCCAACAGGTGAGAGACGGTGACAAAGGTCACGGTAACTCACTCCATTACAGGATGACAAGCTGACTCGTTCCTAATGTTCCCAGCAGCTCCAGCCCTGTTGTGTTTCCGGGAGCTGCCGCGCACAGTGGCCCTCGTCAACAGCTCCAATCAAATGATTTGCAATGTTATTCCTGGCAATCAGGACCCCCTCTTTACCTGCAGCCATCGGCTTCTGTCACCAGCTTGCTACGCCCGCTTTCTGCCTCCACTACTGCGATGAATGACCAAGAGACTGCCAGGGGAGCATCCTGCGGGCCTTAAGCGTCAAGGAGGATGCGAGCATCAAGGAGGGTGAAGTTGGAGATTTCAAAAACCCTCTGCTCTGGGGGTCCAGGGGGATCACCTTTCAGCATTGTGCTGAGTGACTACTGTCCAGGACAGGCGATAAATAAAGGCTCTAAACTTGACCATGGCTGTGCCTGGGTGGCTTCTCATCCACCTGGCAACAAGATGACCTTGGCTGGGAGCCCTGCAGCCCCTCCAGGACACAAATCAAGGGGCTGGGACCCAAAGCACCCCCTGGGAGAGGCGCGCAGGCTGGACCCCCAGCAGTGACCCCCAGCCAGGTGGAGCGGCTGATGGTCCCACAGGAGCGAAAGGAGCAGCTGCGCTGAAGGGGAGAACACCCGGAAAGAGCCGGAAGGTCCTGCACACAGGATAAGCCCCACTGACGGGAAAGTGGGTAGAGATGACAGCGAGGACCCCGGGCTAAGGACCACCCCAGCTCGGTCATGGCCATGAACACGGCTTTGCTATGTCCTGAATCTTCCTGAGGAGCTGCGATGTCTAGTGGGGGTGGGGGGGCGTGGAACTCAGCAGCTGAATGCTACGGGCAAGGCGTTACCGGCAGAGACTGACCACAAAGGAGGCAGAGGGCCCGGCACCATGGTGTGGTGGATCAAGCTGCCACCTGCAGTGCCAGCATCCCATATGGACACCAGTTCAATTCCCGGCTACAACAGTTCCAACCCAGGTCCTCGCTAACACACCATGGAAGGCTGAGGAGGAGGGCCCGAGGGCAGGGCCCTGCACCCACGTGGGCAACTGGACCCAAGGGCAGGCCCCTGCACCCACGTGGGCAACCAGAGGAAGCTCCTGGCTCCTGGCTTCAGACCTGTCCACCTCCAGCCATTGCAACTCTTTGGGGAGTGAACCAGCGGATAGGAGATATCTGTTTCTCCTTCTCTCTCTGTTACTCTGCTTTTCAATAAACAATTTAAAAAAAAAAAAAAAAGGTGGGGGAGCCAAAGGGAAAGGTTTGGCGTGTGTTCAGAGTGGGAAACGGCTTTCTGGAGAGCTTAGCTCGGGACAAAGGGAGCAGGACCTCAAAGCCTCCCAGAGCCTTTGAAGCTTCCCTGCGAGCCCAGGGCCTCCTCCGGGAGCGGCCAAGGCCGTGCAGCCCAGATGCCGCTCAGGCTGGCAGCCGGCCGTGTCCTCCCCACAGCAGCTTTGCAGGTGGCGGAGTGCAGGAATCCCGGGGGTCACGGGGTTTTCCACCCAGAATTCAAAAGGAAGCCTGCAGGGCCGGAGTGCCCACTGGAGTACTGCCCGGTGGA